TTTTTTTCTCTTCTTTTTTTTTTTAAGCCTCTTTTTTTTTTTTTTTTTTTTTTTTTTTTTTTTTTTTTTTCTTTAATATAAACACTGAGAATGAATGAATGAGTGCCTGGATTCCATTTTCCACTCCCACCGCCTAACTATTCTTGTTGGACTTTTTTAATGACTTTTAAATAGATGACAGGGCTGACGTCCTTATCCGTATCCTTATTCTAATTACTAAAGAAAATTATCCCCAATGCTCTTTTAATTCTTCTAGTGGTTTCCGTTATTAACCGTTTATTTTAATTAAAATTCTCATAATAAAATAATAAATAGTTTTAGTTTCTAAAATAAATCTGGTAACTTAAAACGGAAGCTCATTTTTTTTTTTTTTTTTCAAATCCTACGTAGAAATCTTTTATTTCTTTTCTTCACTTTTTTTTTTTCGGAAAATTGTTGTCCAATATTAATCACTAAAGAAAATTGTTAAAACACTAAAGTATGATTACTGATAGTTTTATAGTTACTACTTAGTTTAGTTCAATCATAAATTATCATATAGAATTAAAATTATGGGTACGACTTTAGTATAATATATATTTTTAAAATCACATGTGAATCTATAACAAATTTAAAGTTATATGAAAATTTTTTAATAAAGCACGAAAAATATATTTTTAGTATATTATTAAATTATAAATTGTTAAATTTTTACAAGAAATTACGTTTTTATTTTGATGCGAATTAATATTTAGAAACATGGAGTATCAATATCTGAATTTAGAATAATTAACCTATCATGGAAGGACTTAAAAAAGTATTTTCTTAAAAAGAAAGTAGGGGAGCTTTGGATAGTCATATGACTCGTATGAGTAGTACATAACTATTAAATTTTAGATCAAAATAAAAGTATGTAAAATATACAGAATTTAACTTAGTTTAAAGCAGAACTCTATTAAGATATATTTCATATCATAATGTAGAACTCTCATAATAACAATGATAAATAACTGCCATATTCTAACATTGTTTCTTATCCCCTTTTTGAGAAAATTTCTTTTAAATGCATGAGATCATCTTCAATGGAGTGCTAAATTAATGATCTAATGGCAATCATTGACATATGAAATATTTGACGTTAAATTTACAATCAAGTACAACATATAAAATTTTTGATATTGATGTTTCGACCTTTATATTGATGATAATTGTAATATTATTATTTTAAAAAATAAAATTTACTTTTACAGTTTTTAAAACTTAATAATGACAATAGAAAAAGATAAAAATAGTATTATCCATCAGGTCACGTAATAAAATAGTATATGATCACACTTTTTTTTTTGGGTGCTAAATAGTATTAAGATTTGAGATTTGCTTATAGCCGATAGACATTAGACATTCCACGCAAGGGTGAAACGGCTTTGTCTTTGACTTTTTCTTTTGAGTTGCGAGTACATATTTCCCTGGACAATTGGATGAGAGTCACTTGGGCGGCGAGTTTAATGACTCTGCCGTGACCAGGACAACTAATCTTATCACTTACGTTTGGCTTTAAAAATATGAAACATATTCAGGCTTCGTTCATTTTACCAATTTGAGTTTTTAGTTTTAAGTTTTTACAGTAAAAAATTCTTAAAAAATATCACATCTAACTTGTTTATTTCACCGATTCGAGTTTTTAGTTTTAAGTTTTTACAGTAAAAAATTCTTAAAAAATATCACATCTAACTTGTTCATTTCACCGATTCGAGTTTTTTGTTCATTTTACCAATTTGAGTTTTTAGTTTTAAGTTTTTACAGTAAAAAACTCTTAAAAAATATCACATCTAACTTGTTTATTTCACCGATTCGAGTTTTTAGTTTTAAGTTTTTACAGTAAAAAATTCTTAAAAAATATCACATCTAATTTTTTCTGTTACAGTAACAAATTTTTAAAAAAATATCACATCTCAACTCAAATTAAAAACTCAAATCCGCAAAGTGAACGAGGCCTTAATTTATTTTTTCTGATTTTACCAGATAAGTTCTTTTTTTGTTGAATTGTTTGAAAATAATACATGAGAAAATAACATTTATACAGACTAGTAAATATTTAAAAGACTATTATTCTGCCCTTGAAGACAAAGATACCTGATAATAACATAAACTAATCTAATTTAACATGTCAGTCCAAAAACAGTGATCATTGAGTCATTTGGCAGTTTAGTGAATCATCGCGTGAAATTTCTGTTTACCTTTGTCCGTTTTCTCTTGGCTGAATTTATATCGGTTAAACACACAGACACAGTCACCTATCGCCGCCACCCACCCAATCACCGACTTCCAAGCACAAAAATCAAGGTACCGACTTCCATAATACATGTTGGATTATGTTGTCTGTTTTTTTATGTCGTTTGTCTAATAGTAGTTGTACTCGTGTGTTGGAGATGTGACTTATTTTAGTAGGTTATATTCTTTATTAGTTGGTTAGTTACAGATGAGACTCCAACTTATTTATTATAACCAACTTATGTTGTTATTAATTATGGACTGAATAAATGCTTAACTCTGGTTAATCTTAAGAGTTAGTTACTGATTTAGTATAAATAAATATCTTGTAATTAAGATTATTATTTTTTTATTGATCTTGCTCAGTTTTTCTTCTGTATCTTATTGATAAAGACTTTGTTTTTAGGTGTGAAAATTGAGAGGAGAGAAATGAGTGTATGGGAATAGCTCAAGGGTTGATCAGAGTTTGAGGGTTGTTCTTTTGTAATAAAATTAAAAAAAGTTTAAACTCGACTTACAATTTTATTTAAATTCATGTTCTTTTATAAAATTTGAGTTTAAATTCGAATTTGGGACTAAACTCGAGTTGAAATTTTTCCTTCAACTCGAGTTCATAAACTCAAACTCAAGTTAATGAACAATATTTTTTATATTCTTAAAAATGTCATAACTTTTTTGTTTTAATTCTGATTGAGATGATTTTTTTTCTATGCATTCACAACGAAAAGACGAATACAATTCCACCCATATACCCTATTAAAATTTTTCATCACCATTGAGTTTTTATTAAAATACTATCTATATAAATTTAAGTTTTGACCCATCCAAACACAAACTCAAAAAGATTCTCAATTCAAATCATAACTCAAATATGCACATCTAAACACAAACTCAAGTTACAACTTCAACTCAAGTTATAACTCAAACTCAAGTCAAGATCATCACTTAAATCACCCTAACTAAAAAATGCAAAAGAACAACCCTTGTATATTCTGAGTGACATTCGTTGTGTCTGTGTGAGGTCAAGAGGGTGTAACTGTTCTTTCTTGTGATAGTGGATTGTGTTGGGGAATTTGTTCCCTGCCCTTGGATGTAGGGTTTCTCCAAAGCCCGAACTAAGTAAATGGCTTTTGTCTTGATCCTTCTCTGTGCGTGTGCGTTTTTGGTTTGTGTTTCATCTGTAAATCAACATCATGTAATCATTGTTTTTTCTTTTTTAATACATCTATCTAATAATTTCTTGTAAAAGCATTATGAAAGGAAATCATCATATTTGGTCGACCAAGCGACCATCGACCAACAAACAAGCTGCAACAAGCATAAAAGCTTCTGCATTAGTTGGCAAATCACTCTCCAACTTCAACTGGGCCAAAGTGGAGATACTAAGGTCCCGTTCACTTCGCTGATTCGAGTTTAAATGTGACTTTATGTGAAAGTTTTTTACTGTAGTAAAAAAATTAGATGTGATTGTTTGTGAGAGCTTTTTACTATAGAAAAACTCAAATTCTAAACTCGAATCAGCGAAGTGAACGGGGCCTAAGTAATAGGCTCCATTTCCATATTTGCAAGGAAATTCTAACTTGCAAGATGGCAACAATTATATGGATGAAGTTTTCCCTTGAATTGAAAGAACATTATTTTTTTCAGAATGTATTATTTTTTTCAGAATGTAGTACAACATGGTTGGAAGAGAAGCAATATGGCTGGGATATTATCAATATCATTGTGCCCTCGTAAGAGCTGTTGTGATTGTTCAACAAAATAGCATCTGAGACGTCCCACCCAAAAAAGTAGCCCCTTTTTTGAGGATTTTTGCAACAAGTCATTCTCCATTATTTGAGAACCACTTAGTTTTTGCCATTAGTCTCTGAACAGCGTCGAGAGGAGCAGATCTTGCATAAATCCAGCTCTTCCAGCAGCTTGCCTCATCCTTTTCTCGCGCTCTTCGTAACTCAAAGAAGGATCAAAACTGCAGCACAGAGAAAATGAGAGTTCACCTTCGGGTTTAAAGGCAGCTTACGATTGTAATGACTAACTTTTTCTGTTCACAAGATTTTAGAAAAGCTTAGGGAAGTGATACAATAGGGCAAATGCCTCTTCACAACCATGAAAATTGTACTCCAAAGAAAGCACAGAAATGGCGGAACTTGTGAAGTATCTAAAACGTACAGGTGTGTGTAGGACATCAAGTTCCTTAATGTCCTTTTCTACCCAAAAGATGTAAGAATCCCAAAACTGACATCAAACCTCATCCCAAAGACCGAGTAGGCACTGTGATTTTTCTCTTTTACGAGAACAGGCACTGCAATTTTTCTTTTTCTTTTTCTTTTTTTAATACGCGATCAGGCACTGCTAATGAAGTATCTAATTTCTATTCCTTAAAGAAACTTAAATCAAACCTGCTACTAAGGCTCAACCTCTGAACTTAACCCTCTAACGAGCCTTGGTTTGTCCTAACCTTCAAGCCAGAACTTTCAGGGGCCAATCCATACCATATGACTAAGGTTCACGATGATATCCATTTGCTTCTGTTGGCTCAGACTCTCAGTTACACGCAAAGAAGACAACTTAAAATTGAAAAACAATTTAAAAGGAAGTAAGTAGTTGCGTTAAGATTTCAAAAGGGTTGTGAGAGCAATTTAGAAAGGCAGTTTTGTGAAAGTTCCTTCTCCAAGCCAAAATAAAATATAAAAGAAAAAGAGTAATGTAAAACTTATCTTAGTGCATCTCAAGTAAACATTAAACCGAAATCAAAAGTGTTGATAAGCCGGTTGCAGGAATTATCTTTCATTAGAAAATCGAAACCTAGAAAAGTACCTTGATTTCCAAATATGAGCTGATACCCCTTTCTCCTTAGAAGTGTCATTTGCACTGGCAACAACAGACTTTGAAATTTCTTCTGTTTCAGATGCAGGAAAATTTAAAATAAGAGATGACAGGAACGGATCAGTTGCTGCATTGGAAACACTAGCATTGTTTGATCGATATCCGGCACCTCCAAGAAGCACCTGCAAATGAGATTCACGAAGATCCCGGCCAAGAAGAGACAGTGCCTGACTATTAGGAATGGCAACTCTCCGTAGCCTTCGACGTCTTTGCAAGTGATTTTCAGTTAAAGAAATACGTGATAGTATATTCTCCATACATGTATTAATATTCAGTCATGTGATTATAGGAAGAAAAGAAAAGGCATGATTTTCAATGTTTTGTAAAGCAAAAAACTGGAATCAATATCAAACTTTAAGGATATCTTGAACAAGTGCCCATGATGCAGCGTTATATGACTTAACATGTCCCGTGAAACTTTAATGGAGCAAACGGGACAAACCTGCAACAAAGAGTAAGGGCAACATGAGACTCTTTGGTTGTGGAGGACAATTGCAATTAGACACTGAGCACATTGTCTTCCTGCATCAACTCTCAGAGATGAGAGACCAAGAGGAGAGAGCAAATGGAAAAAACAAGATTCTAGCCTGAAAATAGCAAAGCATTAAATGCAAGGACAAAAATAGAAGGAAAAAAAATATCAAAGAGACATTTCTCCGAAAATCTGTCTCCCAGATAACCACAGTGATGTTTATGCAGAAACTGTGAATCTCTATCACACTTCAAACACCTTGGTCTATGGGCTACAGCACAGCCAATCTATCCATTGTAATTGTAAACTTTCTTTTCCAAATCGCGGTACTTTGTATACTACCAACCCATGAGCCACAAACATGTTGGGTTGATGTGAGAGGAGGAATGTCTAAGGGGGAAGAGACGACCTAAAATAATAAGAAATGAAGGAAGCTTCTTTATATGTTCCCTCTGCAACATAACTATTTAACAGGTGGTGCGACTTTTTCCATGACCGATCACATTTTGTATCTCTCAGAAAACTAATCTTTAGTTCTCTTGATAAGGAAAAAAAAGACCTCTTTCAATCCCAATTAATGCCACAATTCAATAAACAAGTTTAACATTCACAAAGCAAAAGTTTTACCATCACATTCTCAGAACCCAACATTGCACTTTAAACATTGCAACCAAACAGACTAAAAACAAAATCTTCAGACAGGGATTTATTATGAAATTAATTTTTCACTTCTCAGAATCTTTTTCCTTCTTCCATTATTATAATGTATATTTAAAAAAGCGGTCCATTGGTCCCTAAAAATCACATTTCTTTGCCAAGACCAAACTCCATTTGTCTTTACCATTTCACGTTTATAATCAAAATCCTTTTTTTTTTTTTTGGAGTAAGAAAAATATTCAATCAATCAATTAAAATCCCATTTGAAGCAATTAAAAAAACATTCCTTTTCCGATGGCTTCTTTCTAATAACGGTTTTCAGGTGAAACAGCTAAACAGCACCGGAGAAAATGCAATAACTTATCTGAATTTTCCATCTACTTTTGCCAGCTTAATGAAAAAAAAAAAAAAGAGTGCCGTTAAAAATTAAAAGAGAAAAAAAAAACAGAGAGAGAGAACGTACGGTGACTTTAGACTCGCACGAGTGTTCGTCTTCGAGATGCGAACAGAGGGACGCGATATCGAAGTCTTCATAGCAATAGGGGCACGGAAACTCAGGTCGGAGATCGTCTTCAACCTCGAAATCATCCATGCCCAACCGATCTAATCAAATCCAATCATTACACAAATCAGATTCAAAACTTCAATAGAATAATTAGAAACATATATAAATATAAATATATATGTATATATATATATATATATATAGACGGACCTAAGTGGGAGCTCTGATGGTGGTTCTGCAAAGTATATTGGCGTTTGGCGGCGGCGAGGCGAGAGGTCCAGAAATCGGAATCCATTTTTGCTTGGATGAATTCGGATCAAAGACTTCAGATTTAAAAAAAAAATTATTATTACTATTTTTCGATCTAACTTACTGTTATTATAGATTGAATAAGGAAAAATGGTAAATAAATAAATAAAATTTGATTGTTATGTGTTTCCGATCCCTCTGTCCGTGCTTCGTTCTTATATTTTCCGTTTTGACTTGAGAGTTTTCTGATACGGAGAGAGAGAGAGAGAGAGAGAGAGAGGAAAGACATGGAGAAAGAAGTAGAAAGCGATATTATATTGGTTTAACATAAAAATAGATTAATCATTTCTGAAGAAGAAATATTTGTGTTTGTCTTTTATTAATTTGACTTTTTCTTAATGTGGGGACAAAGAAAGGAGGAAGCTTCAAAAATTACGATTTTGATCAGAGAGAGAGAGGGAGGTGAGGTGAAGACGACAGCTGACGTGGAATAAACGCGAGAGAAGATGTCGGGTTATTTTCATCAGTATTAATTAATATTATTTTTTGTTGGCCATACAAGCCTTTTTTGGTGGTTGGAGTTCTTTCGCAAAAAAAAAAAAATAGTACTACAATTTTCAATTTTTTTTTCTTGGTGTTCAGTTTCACAGATTTGTAGATTTTTTTAAGAGTCAATGAGATTTATTAAAGCTCGTGTTTTTCTCAAAAATATGAGCAAAATTCGTATAAAGGGTTTTTAAAATAAAATAAAACAAAATAAAAGGTCATATTTCCTTTCAAAATATAAGACAACATTCAATCCAATTCTAAATAATTTTAGATGAGGAAAATAAGATAAGTATATCTTTTAAATTACATGAGCCTTATTTTTACCTCTTACACTTAATTAATATCCTTTTATTTAAATATTATATTAATCAAAATGGTATTAATCAAGAGTAAATGGTAAGAATTTAAACTCATATACTTTTAAGGATAAGTTCAGTAATTCTCTTTTAAATTTTGAGATGTTACCTCTAATCCAATTTAATTTATGTATAAAATTAGATTGAAAGTTATTTTTTTTTCTTTTTCCAATTTACAATTTAAAGATATGATTCAATTCAAAACATTTTTTTTTTGTGACAACAAATTAAAGAAATGTAAATTGAACTGTTATCACGCCGTAAGTATATGTTTTAAAGTCTTTCAACAAAATATAGGCATCAAAAGGCTAAGCATAAAAGTCTAACAACAAACTCAGAAAAGATACAAAGAAAAGAAATAGAGGCAGAAAAGATGCAAAGGCCAAAGAAGCGACTAAATTATTTCAGACATTTTTATATTTTCTCACTGCATCGTTAATGTTCTGTATCATAGACAACATACATACATTGGCGCATTCGATTGGCTTTTGCATATTCACATGGAAATGGTTTTTGTATCATACAAAGTAGTTCATGGTTTTTGTTTGAGGGAAATGGTTAAAGGAATTGATAATGTAATAACTCATTAGCACAAACTTCCAATTTGAAGAGTCTGGATTATCTTCAGGTGCACACGCTTGAGTTTGAGGTTTTATTTTTATTATTATTATTTATTTATTTATTTTTTGTGAAAAAGCACAAATATGACTTCAACAGATATAATTATATACTGTGAGTTCTTGAATTCTCAATTCTCAATACTTCTGTTCTGTCATCCTAAACCCATAACTAGGAACAATCGCTTATCTGCAATTAAAGAAAAAAAAAAAAACTAATAAATTGTTACAAGAAGGATACTATTAACATTTTTTTCTCTATTAATTAAGTAGAAAAAAACGATCTGGAAGCCGAAAATAAGAGCATTATTTTCTTCATTACTTGCTATTCACTAGTAAATAACACTAAAAGTTTACCACTGAAACTTCCTTCAGCTATTTCTAATAGATAACTTGTCATAAAAAAAGGAACCAGAATCATTTCAAATTTTAACTCCAACTACAACTGTGGCGACCCTCCTTTGAGGCCGCCACCGTTACTAACTTTTTAACTTGTACTTACTGGGATTTCTTAAAATATGCGGAACATTTTTTTTTTTTTTTATATAAGAAGGAATACTTTCATAATTTGTAACAATAATTTCAAATAAGTGAATCACTAAATTTCTTAAAGCTTTTCTTAATTTTAGTTAAGATAAAACCTTTTAGGAATATCCTTCAAATGGAATAGCATTTGAACTCTTGTTTTAAATACTCTTTAAAAGCTTTTCTAAAACTAGTCATTTCAATCGGCCATCTCATTTGACTTTAAAACGGATTTCGTGAGAAATCTTAAATTCAAGTACATCTTAAAGTCCTTCTAAAATTACTCATTTAAATCGTCATGTTTAAAATTCATTTATTTGTTGCATGTACTGTAACGTTCTAAAACTTAAATACTCAAAACTAGGGTTGTTAGTTACAACCTTGGTTTTCTTAACATACATATGTACGTATACTTTTTAAACATACATACTTGAAACTTTTGAATCATATAGACATATACATGATTTTTCTTAAACTTACTGCGGAAAATAACTGCGTGAGCGGTATCCATTCCCATCTCCACCATTCGT